TCTGATACACATTTCATTTTTTTTTTTAAAGTTTACGATTTTAATTTTTAGTTTTGGTTTTAAGAAAAGTTTTTAAAATATTTAAAGTTTGATAATTAGTTAATTCACTTTAATATTACGGCAGTGACGTGTGTAAATTTTTTTGGGCGGAGGGTTGTAAAAATAATAATAATAATAAAAACATTAACTTTGTTGGCTCCATATTTTGTTAAATAAATAAACGATTATACGGTGAATTAATATCATATATATCAGCTGAACACACAACGTCCAAGGAAAATCACCCATATGTAATAAATAATATAGTACTAAACAGATTGAAAATACCAACTGTCAAATAAAATATCAAAAAATTAGATTAGCTGAACGCTAAATTTCTGTAATTTTACATAATACCTATGTATGTCGGTATATGAGAGGAATACAACACTATTGCGGGTGTGACTTCCTCTCGAGACCATCAAACAATATCACGGTTACCTGATGTTGAGTATACCGTATAGGTACTGCAGTCCATCGCTGAGTTTATTAAAACCATGTTTGAGGTGAGTGTTTTGGTTGATCAATGATCGTTGATGTTGATTCGTGGTTTCCAAGTTTCAACTAAGTCGTCCTTTTATCATATTCTGATTGATAATTATGGTTAGTGCCTAGTGGTATGAATGCTATGAATTATGATACAACAATGTGGATACAATATAACATAACCTGGTTTAATATCGATCATTTAAAGATCTCCTCAAATATGATGGTTTTCATAAATTCGAACTCAGTATATATATATATGTCTAGTGTCTATACGTGGTAACTCGCTTGCGGGTAACGGTGGTATGGTTGCTTTCAGTCAGTCTGCAATATTTGGACGGTGCCAGGGTAAAAGGGAATAAGTCCATTTGTTTCATTTTTTTTTTTTTATTGAATATTCTTGTAGAATATTATAATCTACATCGATTGGCATTGGAAAATTAAACAAATTATAGGTTCATTTTTTTATAAAACCTATGAGAACAAAGGAATAAGTAATCAGTCATTGTACAAATAGGAACGGTTTTTTTAGTTTTCTCAAAACAGTGTTTTTCTACTTATTCCCTTTTGCCCGGGCATCGTTCATTTATAAAACGCGGTCGTCTTTAGCCTTTTTCACATAGTCTGTCATGTCATTTTCGTATCGTCATCTACGAGTGTATATTAACAATAGTCGAAAACTTTTACAGTGTGACACGATTCCAGCTGGAAGAGTTTTGTACGTGCCCATATAAGTTTATTTTGTTTTTATACTTATATTAGCCATGTTGTTTAGAATTAATTTTATTTACATAATATCACAATATTATATTATTATCCCTAGATAAATTTGTAAAATCTAAGTTAAACAATCGAGAAGTCGATATGACGATTGTTTGAATACTTACCTACCTATTATAATAGGCACCTACTTGATGTACAATATTATATTATGTGGATATTATTACTGTGGATTATCTTCGCTTCGGTTATTCTATTTAAACATATTAATTTATAACGTGGGACTACGTGTCTGCATAGGTTTGAAAAAATATTCAAGTTAAACCTTGTGGAAATAGTGGTGCCGTCCGTGGATAATGATAAAAAAAAAATTGAATTCAATAAATGTACAATTTAAGCATATAAGAAGAGTTGACCGTGTTAAATAAATCTCCCCTTGTGTATACCTACTATCTACTTATGTGTAAAAAAAATTGTAACTGTTGGAACCTTGGTAGAGTACGTTACACTATTTAGTAATCAGAGCCAATCCTAAACACAATAAATAGGAAACAACTATACATATTGGAAATACTTTGTAAACTTATTGAGGCCATATCAAGACATAGTGTTGAAAATACTTAAGTAAACGTTATCCATCAGTAATTTGTAGTGTGTAACTTCAGGGTGGGCGAATAAATATACTGTAAAAACAATAGTTGCACTAAAATCACCACATGACGGCACATGTTCATAGAAAAATAGACGAGAATATTATTTACGCTTAAACGTTTGCAATTTTTGTTTTTAAATTAAATTATTTTTCTTTGTAAAATTTTAAAATTTTAAGTTTTTTTTTGTATTTTTCAATAAGTTATGAAAAATTATTGAATTTAGCTATTGATATTTTGACAGCTCTCGTTTATAACTTTCAACCTGACTCGAAGTCATCACACCAAAGTAGTAATTTACAGAGTTACACAGTGACGGCTCGGGAGTAAAATATTTTGTTGGGCACATTTATAAAATATATTTTTAATACCATAATATAATCTTATAGGTATAGTAATTCATTAATTAAAAAAAATAACTAATTTATGGCTCTCACATTCCGATTAACGATTGTAATAATGGAAGCCATTAGCAATCGATGAAAATTCTTTAGTGTTAGAAAATAAAAGGAAACACAATATAATTCTAATTATCAAGTGTTCCATGTGTTTTCAAAATTAATTTTGATCATTAAGCGCTAGTGACCTATTTTTCCAATAGAATTAAAAATATAAATCGTTTATTATTTCCACCACTTGGAACAATGGAACATGTATATTTAATCTCATCAAATACAATAATGTCTCAAATCAGGAGACTCCATGAAAGGAGATGAATAGAAATCGATGACCATTTAGTGAGTTTTTAGCATTATACACTTATACTACTGTACTCTACTGTACACATATTTCGTTAAGTACTTCCTTTGTGAAAAATTAAATTTGAAAGAGTCACACAGTTTTCGATCGGTGCACATTTATAAATTATGTACCTATTTAATTGTAATTTATGAGACACGTGTCCATTACCATTATTGTTACAATGAATTCCATTATATGTTTAAAATTCTTTGGTGTTAGTAAATAAACGGAAATATAATATAATTCTAATTATCGGTTCAGTGTGTTTTCGATTAAAATTAATTTTGATCCTTAAGCACTATTGGGCCTATTCATAGGCGAAAATCGGGGGGCTTGGTGTGTAAAGCCCCCAGATATCCCATCAGCCCCCCTTAAAATAAATCAGAAAACTTTTTAATTGTATATGGAATCGAAGCTTCTGGCTCACATTGCTATTAATAATGTTAGCCCCCGCTGAAATTTTAATCGATATCTGCCTGTGCAGAGCAAATTTTTTCCATAAAATTAAAAATGTAAAACTTAATTATTTCCACCACCTGGAACATGGTTTGAACTCTATCAAATATCAAATACAAAAGTCTCAAATCAGGAAATTCGTGGACTAACTTTAATATAGAAATTGATGATAATATAATATTATCTACACTTATGCGTGGGAATTCTTAGTTAGATGAAATCATTTATTTCTAAGAGTTTCAAAAGTGTAGGTTATTGTCTTTTTAAATAAATTATTAAAAATTAATAAATTGAGTTATTGAATATTTAAAAACATTTTATCACGACTAATATTCTCTTATATAAACGGTGAAAAATTGCCGAACTTATAACAATCCCAAGCACTTTGGTTTTGATTAGCACAAAAACATTTTGTTCGAAAAACAGTATTAGAATGTACACGAGTGCTAAATTATTTAAAGCTTTCTGCGCGTTCCGTTGTCAATTTCATGTTTGCATTTGTCTAGGCAGGTAGTGTATTTTTAAATCACTTTACCTACAGCACTATGAATTTTGTCTGTGAGTACCTATGTACATAATACCACAGGGCAATATTTAGGGGAGGGACTCGACGAGGGACTGTCGCCCCGGACTGCTGATTTTGAGGTGGTGGCAATTTTTTTGTTTTATTATAATTGTTGTAGTCCACTAAAATCATAACAGGTATAAATAACTTTTTTGCTACCATTACACTATATTTTGTAATTTTTTTAATTAATTGTTTCCATGATTTATACGAATTACGGTTTCATACGTATATACGGTATACCTATCATAAACGTCTTAGTCGTATTAACACAATCATTGTGATTTGTGACCTAATCTCCACCATCTTCAATAGTTAAACGATACCTGCTAGGATATAAATATATAATCAATGCATTTTTCAGTCAAAATCAAGGAAAAAATAAAATGTAATTTCAAAAAACATCAAGTTAAATTGATTTTCAAATTGCTTTTTAAAACCAATACATTTTTTTATTTTGTTTTTTTGTCTCCGAGCGACAAATTCCTTAATACAGCCTTGTAAAACCGTCGAACGTGATGATTGCGCCAGCAGATTTGGGAGATCGAACGAACGGACATGCAAAACAAAATATTATGTGACAGAATAATCGAAAAAATCGTGTGTCGTACAATCTGCATAATATGTCGCGATAACCAGTCGTCGGTCGGAGTTATAAAAACAGGTGGTAATAATAGAGGTATTATTTCGTACCGCCGAGAGTGACCGACGGAGGAACCGGCGGGCGGTAGAGTGCGAGTAACCGACGGAAGAACGCGGCGGCGGCGGCGGTGACATTGAAACGAACGCCACGCGACTTTGACCCAAACGCGGTCGCTCTCCCGTTCGCTCGGCCCAACGACGACGGATCGCCGAACGAAGACCACGGCGGTGCAGACGTGCGCGCGGTGCATGCGTATTGTAGGGCGAAGAAGTGGTCGGACACTCATAATATTAATAATAATAAATTAACAATATTATTATTAATATATTAATATTTATTTTTTCTTATTATTATTATCGCGTGCAGCCGTTACCACCACCCGGTTTACCACGGCGAAGAGCGCGCGCGCGCGTGCCGTAAAAAGGGCGACTCGCGCGGCCGCCGCCACTGCCACTGCCACCACCGCAATCGTCGACTCGACGGCGGCCGCGGACACGAGTTAGTGAGCATCAGTTAGTAGTTACCGGCCGGGGCGCTATCGTATCGCATAACCGCGCGCGATGACCTGACCGACCGTCGCGGTACACAGCTCGTTTATCGCGTTGTACGCTGTCGTGCGACGACGACCAAACGCCACCGACACATCGTGCGCGCGCGCTAGCCGACAGCCGCCAGCCGCAGCCGTTAGAACCGGCTAGCAATGGACCAGGGCGTGTTCAAGCAATTGGACGACTCATGTTTCCCGCCAAAACGATCTCCCGATGCCGCCGCCGGCACCGAACCAGGTTAGAACCCGACAATATTAATTAATATAATAATATTATATGATATTGAATTATTGAGTTATGCCGTAGCGTAGGGTAAAAATATAACGAAGAATTATATTATTTTGAATTTTTTTTTTTTTGCACGACCGGTGCTACTGGATAATCGAGAGTCGTGAAATATATACCTAACCTAAGTACCGAAAACGCGTGTAAAAATAGTTTTAGGAAAACCGCGTGGTACAACGTCTGTATGAGGTTTTGTATTGGTATCGTACCCGAGTACGACCGAGAGACTTTGACGACCTGTGGCGTACGAAGTCTCGTGTGCGAGATAAAGCCACGTGACGGCCAGCAAACTTAGTTTAGGTAGTCATATGTTATAACTTATAAGTTATGGGCAATAGGTATATCATGGTAACCGCGCGTGTTTCGATGCTTCGATTAATTATTTCGTAACCACTCTGCTCATAGGTCCGCGTGTATAATAAATTTAACGTGTGCGATTTGTTAATATTTTGTTAACACGAGTCAGGCGTCCGTTGAATTCTTAGAATTCTTATTATATTTTGTTTCTCCTGCGCATAATAAATTAAGAAATTTAAACACACATGATATTAATATTGTTATTAAACGGTTTTACTTTGCAATTTATTAGTAGCAATAATATAATGTGTAACCAGTTCTAAGTATAACCGTAACTAAAAATTTCTCTAGAACACTTCGGCGCCATAATATACTTTGTGTGCATCGTTAACAACGGTTTCGATTTATCGATGTATTATAATATTATATTATCATTGGTCAACGGGTAGAGACTATAATAGAGTACCCCATATAAATTCTCGTGTAAAAAAACGAGTTGGGCAGGACTAATAACCAGTTGATCGTTTAAACAGGAGATTTTCGCATTTGTGTTCGCATATATTTATCAAAAAAAAAATATGTGTGAATCACGCATAAACCTGATATAAGGTCAAATGGATATTTGTACAAATTTCAAGTACATTAAAGTATTTTAAATAATATCTTCAATCCGTGTAGAAAGAAAAAGTACGTTTCAACAAATTATAATAAATAAAATACGACATATAATAAATTAACATAATTCTCTTCAGATAAAATTAATTGGATATTAAATCTAAATATAACTATGGAATTTTTAACTGAATAGCCTCGAAATAAAAAATTTAGCTTATATAATATATAGCTAATAACAAAATTCTCCTAATTTATAGTCGTGTGTTACTAGAACTGCAGCATTATAATATTTACTCTTTAACTTACCGGCACTCAGTGATTCCTCGTGTTCCTTAATAAATTAGTATACTTTACAGTTTACTGTATATTGTTGCCCGTTTGAGTCCAAATAATTTTTTGAGCAGCCAGCGTGTTATGATGTTTTTAGTCGAATAAAATTTAATAACTATTGTTTTCATAAAGTTTTAAAATCAATTTATGGAGGGAAAATCAATTAAAAAAAAAAACAATTTAATAGGTATGTAATTATTGAAAAATGTTCAATAGAATTATTTAATTCAATAAAACTATAAACGATATTACGCCGCAGATGCCTTACGAGATAGCATGAAGTTGAATATAATACATATATATATATATATATATACCTGTTATATTTAAACTTTAAATTTAAAGTTAACATCACACCAACTGTTCTAATAAGATTATTAAAAAAGTTCCATACCTAAGTAAACTTCTTTGGTAGGTATTATTTGTAGGACATTCAATTTTTCGTCGTTAAGCAATATGTATTTTAATTTTCAATAAATCATATTCAGCTGTCACGATATACAAGCACTTGCACCTATAAAGTACCTAATAATATTATATGTTCCGTGTATGTATGTTATGATTAGTATTCTGATGCTCACGTAGACGTCTGTCACTAAAATACAAAATTAATTTTAATTCGTCATATATACCCATGTTATGAGGTGTATAATACTTGAACCGATAAGAACGTATAAACTATGTAGGTACGTGTAGAAACAGCACATGGGTATAAATCTCGTAATGTTGTAACATACAAAATAATATATTGAAGCTAATAACTGTCATATTATATTATGCACTTTTGGAATAAAATAACTTTGTGCACATTATACGAAGTTATTGTAATAATAATTATCATTATTATAGTACACGCGCGCACATCGGATCAAAGCGTACAACACAATACAGACTTTTAGATTTTAAAACCGTTGTCGTAATAATATTATATAGTTATAGACAGTGACATTAATACATTATAGTGACGTGCTGGCGTACACAATATATTCAATATAATGATATTAGAATAATAGACAAACCTATATTATGTTTTACTGCCATCTTCGGTTTTTTTCTTCTATAATCGTGACAGTATAATATATAAACGACAAGCCGTAATGTTGCCCAGAGGCCTATTTTGAAATAACTATAGTGATTCATGAGCTCTATACGCGATTTATCTTCTCGTAGATAACGCAATGTTGCTAATAATATTTGAAAATATAAAATGTGTTACACTCGCGAAATATTATTTTCCTCTAGTGGTCAGAAATAGAAGAATTCACAAAATAATAATGTTATCGTAAAATTTATAAAAAAAAAAAATTCAACATTGCCGTGTACCTATGCGTTAGTTTTTAATTTTTATCAATCGAGTCGCTGCAAACGATAAAACACACATTGCAATATTAAAACGTTCGCGAGCGAGCAGCCACGGCACACACACACACACACACTATACGTATAATAATAATATGTAAGTAGACGGAAATTAATGATTTTGACCGTGGCTGACGGTTAGTGTATTATAGGTATTATAATACATTTTTTTTCTTAAGATTTTAATCGTTATAATAAATACAGAAAGAACTCTGAGAGTATCGTATATTAACCTAGGAACATAATATTATGTACAATAAACACGTAATAATAATAATAATGATAATAATATATCGTTATAACTTTTTGTTAAGATATCGTAATTAATATAATAGCCGCTAAATAATGTGCGTTTAGATCGCTGCACACGGAACACTAAGCCTCTGACATGTCGTACAAATAACATATTATTATTTTCACTGTCGCCGAGGTAAAATCGTATAGGTCCCCTAGATTTTACCTATATAATTTACAATACGAAGTGCATTATAGCGAAGATCCAACGAGAATGTTATCGAAATTATATATTATAATAAATCGGATAATATATTTTTTATGGAAATTATTTGGCCGGACACGGTTTACGTAGTGCGCCCAATATTGTAATGTCGCTCATTGCAAAAATAATAATGATATGACCTCTGCAAGACGCCGGTGCAGCGGTGGTGCAGTCATGCACCAAATATTATAATAATATTTATAATAGACAACTTTTGTCACGTTCCCGTTGAAAACGGAAGGTTCGGGAGACCTACTCCGGTGACAATAATAGATTTTTATTATCATACAATACCTATTGCTGCAATTCGTTTTTCGGTGGCGAGCCACCACGGAAGTATCATCACAACCGCCTCAGCGACGGCTCTCTCATATTATTATTATTATGTGATATACGTCCAAAATGATAAATCGCACCGGCGGCGGCGCACTTTTTCGCACGCGTCCTTGACACTCTGCTGTATAATAATAATAATAATAATAATATAATGGCGTCGCCAAACAGGAATATATACGGCCGCGCGAGTGTGCTCATATATAATATATCATAATAATATTATAATGTATAACGTGCCTATACCACACAGGTAGGGTATTATTAATATTATAAACTTATAATATTATTATCTACGAGCGTATACTGAGACGGAGGTATATTATATTATATGAACAGTGTACAACGATCCCAAGGTAAATTTTACGTAAACATTTAAAATTGATTTCCCCCCCGAGACGGCTAAATATTATTTATAATGCTCTTACATGTGCTGACGCGCTCTAACTTGATCCGAGTCCAAATCTCTACACTCCACATGGTTATCGATTTGCGTCTTCTAATACGATATAATATAATATATTATGTTCTTCGTCGCGACGACGATTCAAATGCGCGCAAATAATATATTATAATGTAAATTAGTAGTATATAATATTTTTATATTCGTTCCGAAATCGTGATTCGTTCTTGGAGTGAGTTTAATAATACCTATAATAATAAAGATGAGCCACGAGGTACGGTCGATACCACTTCGTAGGTAGGTCGTTTTCTCGATTGCACGTGTCAATTCATTTTCCCTATTCAGCAGGTGGTCGTGTCAATTATTTTTCCTGATACGGTGGCGCTGCAGAGTGACTCCGTGGAACAATATTATATAACTGCAAACACTTCGAATCCGCCGGAAATGTACTGCCCGTGTATTGTGTATACATTGTTATACCAGACTTTTCACAAAACATAACTCTGTGTCTCCATTTTTTTTTTTACCAATTTTACAAATTGCGAAAGAGTAGTGTTGTTTAACTTTGTGATCTAAGGATAATAGATTTGTAAGATTGGTGTGAGAGGGGGGGTTGATACCAAGATAATGTTAATTTGAAAATTATAGTAATATTAAAATTAATCTATCAGCATATTATAAATTTATCTATGGTTCATAAAATAAAGTTTTTACATATTATATTTCTGTGGCAAGGGAAAAGTAGACATCAAACGGTATAAAAATAGGTTAAAATAAGAACTTACTCAATTCTATCCCCCCCTCCCCACCCGCTCGCAGAAATGTTTTTCCTATTTTATAAAAATCTACCTTAATATTTATTCGTCCCATAAAATGTTTTTGACAGAAAAATTCGCCCCATATACCAGCTAGCCCTCCATGACTCGTGCGTTATGATGAGTTTTTCTGTATGACTTTTAAATGTTAATAATTATTAATGTCATTGTTCAATCAACAGTTGTCTAGTACTCTGGTATGATTTATTTTTAATTAAAAGAATATAAAAATAACAGATGTACACCTATACCTCGACAACATAATACATATTATATTAAAATATGACGATGTGTCGTACTA